CAGGCTCATTGTTTACCTACTATGTGATCAGTAGGGGCCAGCAGAGTTTACCCATTCTTAACCTTAGTCTCCTTATTCAGAAAGCAGCAGTTGTAACATCTGCACACAGGTTTATCGTGAAGAGAAAATAATATCTGCAAGGTATTTAGCATATTGGCCTATAATAAGCACTAAATAACTTTGTATTTGCTTTCTTTGGTTCCCAGGAAGGGATGGTTATACCACAGTCTAGCTCTACCTGTGTTTTCCTCTCCTGTTTGGCTGTCCTTCTGGACCCTTCTGTGCAGACATCCCATCTGAGTCACAAGACAGTTCACACCTCCTCCTGCTTATCTCTTGGATATTAAAGGCAATTAAGAAGAATTAAAGCCTATTGGCCAGCTATGTACCACACTCAGGTCCTCAAGGGTCAGGAATCTTCAGCCTAGTCCAACACTGTTACTGCCTCTCCAGATATCTCTGCACCTCTCTGGTCAAGCCCATGACCAGGGTAGCACCTAGTTTAGTGTGGCTCTTATCTTCTCCAATGTGAGCCCACTCCTAGTAGCATATAGCTAACCCCTGGCCTGGCTCTCTCTTGATCTCAAGCAAATATATGCCTAGCAGGCCAGACCTGGATATTCACAGCTGGAGATAATTCCCAGACCTAATTTACAACTGAGTAACAGCCTGGAGTGTGAATCTGCAGTGAGACCAAAGAGTCTATACTCCAGCACCCCAGAGACTAGAGCTAGGAAGGAAGGACCTCTAAAACGAAGCTGCCAGGGGGCTCAGAGCTCAAGCCCACTCCTGATAAGCTATATAAAATTCATATCAATGTCAGGCTCTTACCCTAAATTTTGCACTGGCCATATCTTTCACAATGCTGCATACTATGGCCACCACATGGCATTAAAGACTTCAAAGGGTAAGAACAGAATGGAATCAACAGCTTCCAAGTACCTACTAAGTCAAGAAATTTGCATGTTATCCTTACCAATACCAATACCTTACGTATTATTACAGGATATAATAATACCTTAGATATTATTATCCTCATCTTGTCAATAGAACTAGAGACTTGGAAAAATCTAAGCCTCTGTTCCTCCACTACTATGCTACCTGACCACAAAGTCTTAAATGATCTTGGAAAGACAAAGAAAAGCTAGAGTCTAAAGCACTATTTAACAGGCTCTCAACACCTTAACTCACTAAGCACACAATGCTAGTGTACATACTGCATTCCTTCATTCACTACTGGTAGAGCCAACTTCTGCCAAACACAATCTAGAAAAATATATCAAAAATTATAAAGATGCTCCTTAACTTCAGTAAAGTCTCAGGATACAAGATCAATGTGCAGAAATCACAAGCATTCCTATACACCAATAACAGACTTAAAGAGTGCCAAATCAAGAACGAACTGCCATTCACAATTGCTACAAAAAGAATAAAATATCTAGGCATATAACTAACAAAAGATGTAAAGGACCTCTTCAAGGAGAACTACAAACCACTGCTCAAGGAAATAAGAGAGGACACAAACAGACGGGAAAACTTTGCATGCTCATGGTCAGGAAGAATCAGTATTGTGAAAATAGCCATATTGCCCAAAGTAATTTATAGATTCAATGCTATCCCCATCAAGCTACCTATGACCCTCTTCACAGAACTGGAAAAAAACCGCCTTAAACTTCATATGGAACCAAAAGAGAGCCTGCACAGCCAAGTCAATTCTAAGCAAAAAGAACAAAGCTGGAGGCATCACGCTACCTGACTTCAAACTATACTACAAGGCTACAGTAATCAAAACAGCATGGTACTGGTACCAAAACAGAGTTATAAACCAATGGAACAGAACAGAGGCCTCAGGGCAACGCCACACAACTACAACCATCTGATCTTTGACAAACCTGACAAAAACAAGCAATGGGGAAAGGATTCCCTGTTTAATAAATGATGTTGGGAAAACTATCCATGTGCAGAAAGCTGAAACTGGACCCCTTCCTGACACCTTACACTAAAATTAACTCCAAATGGATTAAAGACTTAAACATAAGACCTAACACCATCAAAACCCTAGAAGAAAACCTAGGCAAAACCATTCAGGACATAGGCATAGGCAAGGACTTCATGACTAAAATACCAAAAGTATTGGCAACAAAAGCCAAAATAGACAAATGGGATCTAATTAAACTCCAGAGCTTCTGCACTGCAAAAGAAACAATCATTAGAGTGAACCGGCAACCAACAGAATGGAAAAAATTTTTGTAATCTACCCATCTGACAAAGGGCTAATAGGCTAATATCCAGAATCTACAAAGAACTAAAACAGATTTAAAAGAAAAAAAAAAACTCATTCAAAAGTGAGCGAAGGATATGAACAGACACTTTTCAAAAGAAAACATATATGAGGCCAACAAATAGGGAAAAATGCTCATCATCACTGGTCGTTAGAGAATTGCAAATCAAAACCACATTGAGATACCATCTCACACCAGTTAAAATGGCGATCATTTAAAAATCTGGAGACAACAGATGCTGGAGAGGATGTGGAGAAATAGGAACACTTTTACACTGTTGGTGGGAGTGTAGATTAGTTCAACCATTGTGGAAGACAGTGTGGTGATTCCTCAATGACCTAGAAATAGAGATTCCATTTGACCCAGCAATCCCATTACTGGGTATATATCCAAAGGATTATAAATCGTTCTATTATAAAGACACATGCACATGTATGTTCATTGCAGCACTATTTACAATAGCAAATACCTGGAACCAACTAAAATGCCCATCAATGATAGACTGGACAAGGAAAATGTGGCACATATACACCATGGAATACTATGCAGCCATAAAAAATGATGAGTTTGTGTCCTTTGTAGGGACAAGGATGAATCTGGAAACCATCATTCTCAGCAAACTGACACAAAAACAGATAATCAAACACCGAATGTTCTCACTCATAGGCGGGTGTTGAACAATGAGAACACATGTACACAGGGAGGGGAGCACGACACACTGGAGTCTGTTGGCGGGCACTAGGGGAGGGACAGCGGGGGTTAGGGAGTTAGGGAGGGATAACATGGGGAGAAATGTCAGATAAAGGTGACGGGGATGAAGGCAGCAAACCACATTGCCATGTATGTTCCTATGCAACAATCCTGCATGTTTTGCACATGTACCCCAGAATCTAAAGTGCAATTATATAGATAGATAATAAATAAATAATAAAGTAAAAAAAAAAAAGATATTCCTAACCTTTGCTCTTGTAATTGCATCCCCAAAATCATATATTAAGGAAACAGTTCAACAGAGATTCACTAGTGGTGAAAAATATATATATATGATCTAAATGTCCAATATTCAAAGCACGGTTTGAGAAATCCCAGAACCTTCTAATCATGTAATGTTTATTGTATAGCCATTTTAAATGATCATTTTAAAGACCAAGAAGGAAAAAAGCAAAGCATCCTTGATAAAATAAAGACTGAAAACAAAACATCATAAATGCTATTGATACAACTTGTAGAAGTATGGACACTTGCCTATATAAAAAGGAATGTTGCTGTTCTAGGGTGGTAAGATTATGGAAATCTTCCATAATAATAAATGGTTTTATTACATGTAAATAGTTTTTATAGTATTGTTTAGTACCTTTCCAATCTAAGACAAAGAGAGAAAAAAAAAAAAAAAAGACAGACACAACCCAGCACTAAGAAAAGGCTCAGGAAGACCAGGGCTGAGATGTGAAAGCAGAAATTGAAAGCCGTCCTACATACCCGGAAGGAGGAGGCCAGACAGGGCCCTGGGGAAGGGAAGCCCTCTAGGTATGGAAAGGGTTGTAATTAGTCTGATGCTAATTACAGAAGTCTCACTAGCTTATTAATTTTTTTGACAGACTCTGAATGAAGACTGAATTCCTTCATTAAGCCAACTTGGGTTCAGAGGCACATTTCCTATGTGGCTATCCTCATTCTTCTAAAAAATCTAGCCTTTTCTTTTTTTTTTTTTTAAGGGTAACAGTAAAGTAAAATTTAGTAACAGAAACACACACCCTAGAGAAATTAAGACTCCTGCCTTAAATGCAGAAATTCAAGCCATTTCAGAAAATCAAAGGGGTTTGAATAAGCAACTGAACTGCAAGGTTTTCTATACTGGGAAAAATAAACATGAGCATAAAATATTTATCTCAGTATTAAAGGCCCCTTGATCAGGTTCCAGCCAATCTTTCTGATATTACCTCATAATCTTCCCTCCAGATACCCAATGCTCCAGCCAAACTGAACCACCAGTGGTCCCCAAAATAGTTTCTTCACTTTCCTACCACCATGACTCTGTTCAAGCTATTACACACACTTAAAATTTGTCTCTTACAACTGCTTGCTCAAGTCTGACCCATCCTCCAAAGCACAGATCCAAGCCTTGTCATTTTTTTTTTTTTTTTCTGAGACGGAGTCTTGCTCTGACACCCCAGCTGGAGTACAATGGCATAATCTTGGCTCACTGCAACCTCCACCTCCTGAGTTCAAGCAATTCTCCTGCCTCAGCCTCCAGAGTAGCTGGGACTACAGGAGCGTGCCACCACACCCAGCTAATTTTTGTATTTTTAGTACAGACGGGGTTTCACCATGTTGGTCAGGCTGGTCTTGAACTCCCGACCTCAGGCAATTCACACACCTCGGCATCGGATTACAGGTGTGAGCCACTGAGCCCAGGCAGCCTTGTCATTTTCAAAGCCTAGGCCAATCTCTATACCCTGAATTCATTTCGTGCTCATCACAATAGATCCAGAGTACTTTGAATCTCCAAGGAGCTACATAAAGTCTGCCTTGCAGTACAGTTATCTGAGTAACTGACTTTTGACCACATTAAAGCCTGGGCTCCTTGGGGCATGGACCCCTCCAAATTCCTACATGGAACCTATCCATAATGCCTGGCACACAGTAGGCCCTCAGTAAATGCTTCACTGAAAGACAAAAAAAAGGGACACATTATATCTGTAAGAAGTCACTTCCTACCTTAGTAGCTCCAGTTAAGCAATGCAGAGATGAAGGCATGCTGTTCGGTGGTCTTGAACAGGGGAGAAATGAATCTTGCTTTTCTAGTTTCCAGCCTTCATAAGTCTCCAACTGCCTCCCTAGTTGACCATAGTCTGCTCGGCCCCAGGTAAACACGTTCCCAGTTTCTAAAAACAAATATTATTTGAATTAATATTTGTTAATATTACATTCCACAGCTGTGCTCCCATAGATAGGCAATTAATTACAAGAGAAAATGTGACATTTATTTGAGCACCAACTACCAGGAGCCTTCCTATCTTCCTGTAAAGAAGGCACAAGTATTCACATTTTTACAGATGTGGAAACTAAGGTTCAGAGAGGTTGAAAGACTTGCTTAATATGAAACAAGCTGTGAGTACCAGAGCTAGATTCAAGCAGAGATTCATTCTAAAGCTTACACTCTTGCATGTTACACAGATATGGATATGATTATGGATATAACTTCGACCATGCTTTACGGCCTTCCATTCCCTCCCTTCCCCACATACTCCTTGTGCTTTGCCCAGATGCCTGTTCTCAGGTTCTTCTCTCCCTCACCCAACCCAGGGCCCCATTTAGTCACCTTGAAGTTCTCCACTCCACAATCTCTTAGGGTCTAGCTCAATCAATGGCCAGATTTATTTGCTTTCCCCACTTTGTAACATAAGGGGACCTTTCAGAATCTATGCTCTTACCCAAAGGAGCAATTCTAACAATCCTAAGGCAGGTGTTTATGTGTGTTAGAGGGAAGGGAGTGAGAGAAGAAAAAAAATGGCAAAACCATTTGGAGTCAGAAAAGCATTTAGTCCCCCAGATGCACCACATGGGAAGCTAGCCAGTGCTAAAAATGACAAAAGAAAATGAGATTTGCAAAAGGAGAAATGGACTTTCTTCTCCCAGATAAGAGAAAATTCACCAAATTCATTCAGTTCTACCAAGTGCCACATTTGTTATTTCAACAGAAATGCAAAATCTGATGAGGCATAGATTATTAACAGATTCTCTGCAATAAATATGCATAACCATGTGCGTTGTATAAATTCTTTATACATGTTTATTTTAACAAAGAAAAACTTTGCTTTAGAGACAAAACACAGAGCAATGCATATTAAATTCTAGACAAATCTACTACTGCATACTTTGTGTTTGGTATCAAAGCTTCATCTGGCCCCACATTCAACATATGGTTTATAGTGTCAGCTAAAAAAAACAACCATAGATTCATGGGGAAATGTCAGAATATTGCAGTGATACAAGGCTATTCAGGGAAACAGTTCTCAGGATCAGCCTGCTAGCAGACACTAAGGTAAGATACCAAGCAGTTTACAGGAATCTGACTTTTGGGCTTCTTCAAAGGGGGAACAAAGTCTCTGCAGTTCACAGGGTATACAGGGTACCTCGCATATTATGAGAGATGGGAATAGGTTCATTCACATGTACTATTTCATGGCTCTTTGTGTGCTGTTCCTTTTGCTAAGAATGTATTCTCCTTAGCTGGTAAACTATGGCTCCACCTTTAGAGTCCAGCTCATGTACCATGAGTTCTATGAAACCTTTCTTGACTCTCCAACTCTCCCCAGAAAGGGTGAAAGTCACCCTCCTGTGAGCCACCTTTATCACTGGACTCACCAACTACTATACTGCCATTTGACAGGTGAAAAAATTAAGGTTCAGAGAAGTGACTGGCCCAGGGTCACATAGCTAAGCCACATCTCTTTCTACTAGCCCATGGTATCACTCTGCATTGGTTATAAAGCACTAGTTACTGCATAATCACTCAACACTCTTCCTTCACTTCTGTAGGATTAGACTCTTAAAAACCCTTGTGCCCAGGACCCATAAAGCATCCCAAACTGGCAAACTGTCCCTCTACCTGAACTGGCTAGGATTTCTAACCGGAATGCTAAGCAAGAGATTCCCAAGAAGCCAGAGGATGAGACTGTTGCTGCTTAAATGACCACAGCATTCCTCTGCTGGGAGAAACTAGGAAGCAGTTATCTTCTAATAATTTTATCAGAAATCACACATTGAATCCTCTCTTTCACATCAATTAAAACATCTTAGAACTTTCCTGTTACTGATTATTGATGTCCAAGACAGTCAAGACTGGCAGAATATGGTGCCACCATTATTATATCCCTGATAGCAATTCAACCACACCACTTAGATAGCACTTTTCACCTTTAAAGCACTTTACAAAGATTAACTAATTAATCCTCATACTCTCTGGGGAGGCCATAGACATTTTAGTTAAGACAGGTCCAGAAACCAGGCTGATTCAATGTTCAGTCTTCAGTCTCAAGCCTAAATTTAATGCACTCTGAACTTGTCTGCTTCTTTTCAAAATAAACTCTGCATCCAAAGGCTCACCCAGGGCAGACGAGACCCTTTTATTTTTCCTTTTCTTCTAAGCAGACATTTATTGACCTCTTCCCAGGTACTCAGTACATTCATTGACACTGTCTCAATCCTCACAATAATGCTGTGGCCTATAGAGAGCTAAGCTTATTCTACAGATGAGGTTAAACAACGAAAGTTAAATGATTTGGTTGCGTTCAAACAACCACCAAGTAGTTGAATCAAGATTTAAACCTGTGTCTTCTGATTCCAAGGCCAATGGTATCTCTAATGATTGCACAGCCGCTGTCACAAACTGACAAAAGTTGGCTGATGAAACAGCCATTTTTACAATGTTTGAAGAAGAGGAAAACTCAGATTAAATGGGTATGCTCTGTGTACCATTCAGCTTTCCTCACTAGAATAATCTGCTTCCCAGGAGGCCATGTAGAACTCAGGACTGTAAGTGCTGAAATAAAGGCATCAAACACATGGATTACGATTTTATGTCACCTGGAGCAAAAGAAAACAATGAATCCACATATAAAAAATGCTCATTAATACATTGTGGACAAATGTCTGCATCAAGCTGATGCATGCTGTCAAATCCAAGGAGATTCAAGTCACAAATTTAACAAATGAATCTTCTCCTTAAAGGATTATATATTACTATGATAAAAAACAGATACACTAACATCACCCAAAAAGTATAGGTATGTGTCTCCAGGTAAATGATAAATGAGAGAAATGACAAAATAGCTCAAAACAAAGTTAGCAAGTGAAATACAATTTATAAGGCACGTCTATGTAAGAACTGGCACAGAATAACTACAGAGCCAAGAAGTATACACTGCAAAAGATATCAATGCACCACAGAAAACAACAGAGGCCAAATGAGAAGTATAGAGAAAGAACACTTAAGGGGTCTGGAACTAGAATTTTTGTGGCAGGCTGAGGGAACAAGAAGCATTTAAGGTGAACTTCTGGATAAGAAAAGAAAATGGGAGGCCGAGGGAGGATATTGCAGGAACAGTGTGAGGGGATGAGCAATGATATGAAAATCAAAAAGCGGCCGGGCACAGTGGCTCACATCTGTAATCCCAGCACTTTGGGAGGCCAAGGCGGGCGCATCACCTGAGGTCAAGTGTTCGAGACCAGCCTGGCCAATGGGATGAAACCCCCTCTCTACTAAAAATACAAAAATTACCTGGGCCTGGTCGTGCATGACTATAGTCCCAGCTACTGGGGAGGCTGAGGTAGGAGAATCACTTGAACCTGGGAGGCAGAGGTTGCAGTGAACCAAGATGGCACCACTGCACTCCAGCCTGGGCGACAGTGGGACTCTGTCTCAAAAAAAAAAAAAAAAAAAAAATCAAAAAGCATGAGAGAGAATGAGGGTCACAAGGAAAGGAGACTGGAAGGGGCGTCAAGACTGCCAGGATGGGGCCAGCCACAGGGAAATGCCATGCCTGGGTCTGGACCTCACCCTTCAGACCAGGGGCGCCCAAACTTGGTTGCTTACTATTAGTAAAAAAAAATTTTTTTGAGATGGAGTCTTGCTACATCATCCAAGCTGGAGTGCAGTGGCATGATGTTGGCTCACTGCAACCTCCACTTCCTGGGTTCAAGCAATTCTCCCACCTCAACCTCCTGAGTAGCTGGGACTACAGTCATGTACCACCGTATCCAGATTATTTAGTAGAAATAGGGTTTCACCTTGTTGGCCAGGCTGGACTTGAACTCCTGACCTCAAGTGATCCACCTGCCTTGGCCTCCCAAAGTGCTGGGATTATAGGCATGAGCCACTGCAACCAACCTCTATTAGTAAACTGTTTTTTAACACATCACCAATATATGTACATTAATTTATTTATTAAAGTATGTATATTCATAAATCATAAATAGGTAGTCTCACTCAAAAACATACAGTATAAAAACATGCTAAAAATAGAAAATAGAAAAGAATGAGATAAAAACATATAAAAGAAGTTATAAAAATCTCTTCCAGCTGGATGCAGTGGCTCATGCCTGTAATCCCAACACTTTGGGAGGCCAAGGCGGGCAGATCACCTAAGGTCAGGTGTTCAAGACCAGCCTGGCTAATATGGTGAAACCCCATTTCTACTAAAAACACAAAAAATTAGCCAGGCATGGTGGCACGCACCTGTAATCCCAGCTACTTGGGAAGCTGAAGGAGGAGAATCCATTGAACCTGGAATGTGGAGGTTGCAGTGAGCCAAAATCACACCATTGCACTCCAGCATGGGCAACAAGAAGAAACTGTCTCAAAAAAAAAGAAAAAAAATCTCTTCCATACCCTAGCAATTCATCTTGCACACTCACCACTGCGAACTAGACCATGGGGAAACTACAGACTTTTGAGCAGGGGTGGGGCCTGATGAAAGGAATGCTTAGGGAATGGTACATCTGGCAAAGGATTGCAGAAGGCCAGAAATCATACTATTTACAGCTAATGCTTCCATAGCACCTACTATGTGTCAAGCACTGCTCTAAGCATTTTCTGTACAGTGTTATGTTTATTCTTGCAACAATCCTGTGAGATAGGCACTTTTACCATCCCCACGTTACCGACAGGTAACAAGGTACTCACCCAAAGTCACAGAGGTAGTAAGTGAAAAGAGAAGCCTAAGATGCATCAAGGCCTAAACTAGAATTGAAGTCATAGAAAAACAAAAAAAGAAAGAATTTATGGGGCTTGACACCCCATTAGATGTTATTTTAAAAGGAAAGGAGAGGAAATAAATACCATTCTGAGATTTCAGGATTTCAAGATGAGTAGGAAGGTGAT